AGAACCATGTGGTAATTACATTGTGTTTTTTAGTATTATATTTTGTATTTTTTGTTGTTTTGACTATTATTCTATCTCACTACATATCAAATAAAGTATCAATGACTATACTTGATATTTTATGTACGGAAATAAATCTTATTCCATATTTACGTTAAAATGTTGCTAAATGTTTTTATATTCGTAATTACTTAGTAAAAGTCAATGAAATGAAAGTTCGCTTTGAAATTGTATAGAAGTTCTAAATAACATAAAAGGTAATGCTTTATAAAACCGAATCAAGCCAAATTTCCATTACATATGTCTTAAACGATAGGGAATATTCTTACACTGTTTTGGAAGTTTTTTTTTGGAGTCGTAACTTAAGTTGAAAAAAAACCAAGAAAACTACATAGGGTAAGTTAAGTTTGGAACAATAGAAAAGCGCAGGATAAGTAAAGCTAGGTTTATAACATGTAATAAAACACCAAAAGCAAACTGGAAAGGTTAGGTTTGGAACATTTTTAATACCATAAAAAAACATCGAAAAAGCGAAAATATTTTCTATTATAACATGTGATTTTATAAAAATTGTGAGTGTCAGCATACCTGTTACAAAACTGAAAACATATGAAACAATTTTAATATCTAATGAAATAAATTAAGACCCCGAAAAAAAATCTTCATAGCAATATATTCATCTTCAGCAATCTTCATAGCAATAATACTCATGATGATCATTTCCTAAAGTTTAAAATTGATTTTATGAAAACTTGGTTTGATTCGCTGTTGTAAAGTTGTTCCAAATAAAATTATTATTCAAATGTTAAAAGACTTTGTTTATTGTTGTGTTTGGGTTGGACTTTAAAATGGGAGTGTGACTCACTTTCCAATGACAAATTGACCGAAATTTATTATTAAAAAGTACACATCTTTAGGTTTGTTATAATAAAATTATGAATAACATCAACAATATGTGATTTAATAAAAATAAAGGTATCTGTAATAGTTTATTTTTCTATTTAAACTAAGTTACCAGCAGTTACATCCAACCTCTGAAGTTTTTGTAACTTATTAAATTATAAGAATAAGCTTTACAGTTATAATTAACTACAAAGGAAGAACATTGTATGAACAACTTATCAATTTTTAATACTTTCTGTTTTTAGGTGTGAAACAAGTAAAAAGCAGTAGAAAACATAATCTATGGATTCACAGAAATAGAATTTGAACAAAGATAAAATTTTACATTCTATTCATATTTAAAAGAACTAAATGTTGAACTAGAACTTATGACCTTTTGCTAATTGCTGAAAAGTAAATTTACAACAAAAAATGATGAAAATAACATAAAAGTAAGTACAAGACATATGCCAAATTCTACATGGTAAGTGGTAAATATTAAGTATTAATAATAATTCCCAAAGCACATATTTCCAGCAATTATTTGAACAATTTTAACCTTTTAAATTGGCTTGATATTTAGTATAATATGGTTTGCTCGAAACATGAAAAAGATTCAATAATAAAAATTAACTTAAACATTATTTAGGTTGTGTGTAGAATATCTCTCTATTATTGTTTCAAATATTGTAGATTAAACTGTAAATTGGTCATGTCATGACAAGTTTTTCAAACTAATTTGATTAATGATTCTATCATAGACATTTCACAAAAATGGGCAGGCAATAAAAGTTCCAAAAAATCTGTACCTGTAAAAACTAATCATCATTTTTACATGGTTTGTGAGTTCCATCATTGTAGAGAATTGAATTTCAAATAAGTTTTGTAAGTAAATGGGGAGAAATCTATATAATCAAAGAAAACCAGTTTTTTTTAATAAGGTATGTAATTAGGTGGAAAGCAATAATTAAGTTGATTATGTTGTAGACTTGAATCAATTAATTACCATTTCATACTGTTGCAGATGAATGATTGCACCTCTTCAAGTTCTACAGAATTATTAAATGAAGGAATCTGCTTCAGAATTACTGACTGCATGTCGCTGCAACATCTGTGCTACAAAGTTTGACTGTTTAAAATATTGTAATTCTAAACTAAATTTTGAAAAATAACTTATTATATGAAGTAGTTTAACCGCAAATCTAAAAAAGAGTCACCATGTTGCAGGAAATGCACAAGCATAATAACTATATTAATGTCAATATTGATATATAGATGTGTAACCTATACATTATTTATATTATAATTTAGTGTTTTATACTAGTTTGATGTTAATATTATGACAATTTTTAGAAATATGTATTAGACTTTAATATAAAATATTCACTAACATAATAAGATTTTCTCGAAATTGGGAAATGCAGTGTATAGAAAATAAAAATATACTAAAATATAGGGAATTAAGTATCAAGTACAAAAGATAAAAAAAATGCCATTTAGTGAAAAATATGAAACAAAATTAATTTATTAAATTTGGATTTTACAAATATCACAACTTATTATATATCTTAAACTTTTTTTGAACTAAGTAATAAAAAATAAACAGAGATTGTATACAATTTTCTTACAAGTAATTTAAATTTCAACACAGGTACTTTTCCCCAAAATGATGCCTCCTAAGCTCATTATTTTTCCTCGTTAAGGAATCTATAGGTTACACATCTATGGAGAATAGTAATAACAAAAGAGTTAAAATGCGGAATCTTTAGGTTCATGATAATTTTATGAATTTATTTGAGAAGTAAAACTTAAATATTGTATTCTATTTTTACAGTACATAATATTTAACATGACTTGTACATTTGCAATGTTTTGATAGGAAAAGTTTGGATTAGGGGACTATTTGGAGCGTCGGCAGTGCAGTTGGCGCTTGACCGGATCATATTTTACATATCCAGGTACGATCTCCGCTATATAGTAATGAGTTCTTCGAATTTCATGATAACATCCATCAGACATTCTTACTGTAATTACAAATTGCATACAACTGCATAGAAATTCAAAGATATGTGTGAAGTCAACCAACCCTCACCGGCTCTGCATTGTTGAATAAGACCTAGTCGCATTCTTGAGGGTAGGCTCCGAGCTCCTCAGTGGAGTATAGTGTGATTTGTTTTGCTTCAATGCATATTGTCTTGTTAGCAATTTTCTAAATATTTTACCAACAGAGAGGAGCTAATCTCTTTCCAGTGTTATTCTATTTCTCAAGACAAGAGTGGCACTACTACTCCAGTTCTATCAGAAAATATGATCTATCAAATAAACAAACTGGAACAAATAAGCGTTTATCAAAGTTGGGGTATTTTGTTGGTGAACTAAACAATAATGGTATTATTACGAAAGCAATGAGCATTATGTTGCGTTCTTAAAATATGTTCGCTTTAGTCAGAAGATTAAATAAAGTTGCAATTAACGAAATTGTTTTATTTTTCCAAAATTGTTTTCCCTCGAATAATACTTTCAAACGTCAAAAAGGAAATTGACAGATTGATTTTTTTAGGTTGGTAGCAACGTAGACTTGTTCATAATATTGCTAGCATTGAAAATGTCAATTTTTATTCTCCGTTTGTGTATCTAATTAGTCAAGAGTCCCGTCTCTTATTTTATATACTCTTTGGTCCCGTCTCTTATTTTATATACTCTTTGGTTTCGTTGTGTCTGATCAATTTTGATATGTTTTGCCGATTTATTTAGATATTTTAATTGAGATATTTTTCGATTTATTGCGTTTGTAATTTTTATAAGTTTATAATTAAGGAAAGTTTGTATAAAATAGTTTCAAAATGGAAGATGTTTTAAAAGAGCCCGTACAACTTTCGAAAGGAATTAATTTAAAGTAAGCAAATTACGAAATGATTATTTTATAAATTTAACTTCAATTTTATTTTTTCTACTGAGAATTAAAAGTAACTCACACATTATTATATCCAAGGCTTATACTTAGTAATATTGTACATAAAATTAATTTGTTATTTTATTAAAGAAGCCAAGTCGAACCGCAATATTTTTCCCGCTCATCCGAGTTTCTCGCTTATCCACATTCGACTCACATATACAAATACTTGAGAGTTTGTTTCTTACAGGGAACTATTCACATCACAAACGGAGTTTCACATCGATACAGACTTTAAAAAGAAGAGGCCTGATTCCTTTTTAAATATGAACAATGATTTAATGCTGGATACTGATGATGAAGATGACAGGTAATTGAAATAATATAGAATTAACTTAATAGTAAAGAGTTGATGGAAGTGGGGACTTATAGGCAGGAGATCCTACACCAGATGTGGTCTGAAACTCTGTCCATGTGTTCTTCCAGACTATGTTCTACATCTATGTCAAATATCAGCAAGATCCTTGCAGCTGTTCTTGAGATACATTCAAACAAACATACATCTAAATATTCGCATTTATAATATTAGTAAGATAAGATTGTCCCTCTGGTTTCCATTAATGGTAGGTATATGCAATCTTTTATATAGTCCTTAATGTCAATGGGATGTCCCTTCAACTGTATGATCAGTTTACATCTCCACTGAGGTTCTCAGAGCCTACCCTAAGTTAGACTATGTGATAGTGAATGCTGACCCAGTGCATGACTTCACACATTTTGACTTTCTCAGATATGTGCAGCATCGCAATGTTTTCCCTCACCGTAACAACATAGGATAAATGTCAAATGCTTTTTTCTAATTGTTGCAGTGATACTGAAGATATTTTGAAAAATATTGAAACTTCAACGGAACAAATGTTGCTTTCCTCACCGGAATATCATTCGTTTAAGGATTTAGCTGCTAAAATGATTGATTGTGTACCCACTGGTGATGTAAAGATGTTAATTATTGAAGAAGGTAAATTTTACTTGCCCACCTTAACTTAGCCAGCGCAGTAAAAAATATAGCCTAGAACATGTCCGAATACATCAGGTACCTTCCAGTCCAAGTCACATCAAAATCTGTCCACCCGTTCTGGAGATGACCAGGGACAAACGCGGCCTTGTGTACAGACCTATAGACAAATAGATGGAAATTGGTTTTTCATTATTGTTTTTTTTCGATATTACATACAGACATTCCAATTAAGATTCTGACCGCTTGTAAAAAAAATTAGTAGCCTATGTGTTCTTCCAGACTATGTTCTATATGTATGTCAAATATAGTATATATAATCTAAATACATTGAGCCATTCCGGAGATAACTTCTATCAAACATCTAAACATTTCATCATCATCATCATCATCAGCACACTATATGTCCCCACCGAGGGGCTCGGACCCTACCCTAAGTTAAGGGTGATTAGGCCATAGTCAACCATGCTGGCCAAGTGCGGGTTGACTACACACATATCTTTGAATTACTTCTCAGATATGTGCAGCATCACGATGTTTCCTTTCAACGTAATAACGTCGAATAAATGTACATATGTAAATCGGAAATCGAGAAACACATTGGTACATGGCGGGATTCGAACCCAGGACCTGCAGATTGCAAGTCAAGTGCTTGACCGCTGAGCCACCGACGCTCAGTGGTCTAAACATTTGCATTTATAATTTTAGTAAAATTACTTTTAGGTGATGGTCCCCTAGTACCTGTAGATGCGGAGGTAACTCTACACTATGCTGCATATTGGGAGAAAGCTAAAATACCCTTTGATTCAACGCTAACAATGAATTCTGGCATGCCAATGGTATGTATCATCTTCATTCATCTTTCATCAGCTCTATAGATCCCCACTGAGGGTCTCGGAGTACCCTAAGTGAGACTATGTGATAGTGAATGCTGATCCAGTGCAAGACTTGACACATATGTTTGAGTTTGTCAGATATGTGCAGCATCACGATGTTTTCCTTCATTTTTCTATCACTCTTGGGAAGCTACAGTTTATATTGTGTGTTGGTCCTTCGAGTCAGATTTTGTCCACTTTGCTTGTCTTCCTACACTTTTAATTCATAATTACTGTATAATAGTACTAGCTGTCGCCCGCGACTCTGTCCGCGTGGTAATAGAAAAAACTAAATTAGTAGCCTATGTGTTTTTTATTACTATGTTCTATATGTATGCCAAATTTCAGCGAGATTACAGCCGTTCTAGATATACCTTAACATCCATCCATCCAAACATTCATATTTATAATATTAGTAACATAAATGTAATTTTGCTGCATTTCAGTTTGATATAGAGTTTAGTTAAAGTAAAATTATCTTTCAATGCAGCACTCAGAGACCTCAATTGGTCAATAAGGTACACTCTTAGTGTAAATTTTATACTAAAAATACATTAAGTGACCTTATATTAAACTAAATATTTTCAGCATATTCGTTTAGGAACAGGCAGCGTGTTACTAGGTCTAGAAATAGGTCTAACAGCAGTCAAAGGACCTAAGGCTAGGTTCCATTTACTGCTGCAGCCTAAAGTTGCGTGGGGTGAGAAGGGTGCCCCTCCCCGAGTGAAACCTGAGCCTGTGTTGTTCGTGATTGCATTGTATGATGTACGGGATACACAGGCTGGAACTAGGTTTGTTTTATTTTATTTTATTTAATCTGTGGAAGCCTTGACAAAGAGTAGACTTGTTAATCTTTTTTAATCGGTGATAACGATTAAGGTTTGGACAAAGAATAGTTAAACATTTAAGTAAAGAACTGTTTTTTTTTAATTTATGAATAAGATTTAAGAAATGAGTAAAAATTTTAGGTTTTGTTTTTTTTAATGGTTTTAGTGAAGAAGGTTCGACCAAAAAGTTTTCATGTTATATTTTATTTTTTTTGTTATGACTGATTTTAAATAAGTTTTCTTTTTAAGATTCAACGACCTACCAATGGAAGAACAAAAAAAATTCGAAGTAACAATGAGAACAGTTAAATCATTACACGCGCAAGCTAAAGACTATTTTGTTAAAAGAAAATACAAAAAAGCAATACAAAATTATCAACAATCACTTGCAGTGCTACGAATATCACAACCAAATGATCAAACCGAAGAAAATGAAATAAAAAATCTTCAAATAGTCGTATTTGTTAATCTAGCAGTATGTTACTATAAAATCGATAAACCTAAATACGTTATAAATATGTGCGAAAATCTAGACCGAATTATAGATATAGAAACTCATTGTAAAGGATTATTTTATTATGGTAGAGCATACGAAATGTTAGGTAAAAGGGAAGAGGCGTTAAAATATTATAATAAAGCCTTAAAATTAGAACCGAAAAATAAAGAAATCGGCAAAGCGTTAGTTGATTTTGAACGTTACGTTCAAGATTCTTCGCAGAAAGAGAAAGAAATGTGGCAGAACGCCTTCAAGGCGACGCAAAAGAAAAAAACAAATGTTGTCTATGACGTGGATGAAGAATTTCAAAATGGCGTCCGAGAGATGTGTCAAAATTTGATTGACAATGAAGAGCGCGCTCAATTTGAGTTGTCAACTGGACTAACTAGGAATGAATTAGATTTTTTAAAAGCGTTAGTTACTGAATTCGATGAACTAATTATTGATGAAGAGGGCGAAGGCAAAAGAAAAAGAGTGACTGTGGTAAAACTTTAGCTACGAACAAAATGAAAGTTGATTTTTAAGCGTAATTTATTTTTAAAGATTTTTTATTATGTTTCTATAATTTGTTTTATTTTTATCTATTATTTATTTTAGCTATAAAGATATTTGAATTGATGTGAAATACAATGTTGGCGATATTTGAAACCACCTTTCCTTTGTGATTAATTTATTACTGTAAATATTTCGAATTTTTGGTTTCTTTAAGTAAATTTTGTGTCTTAAATACTAAAATAATCTAATTTTATACAAATTTTATCGATAGTTTTAAAAATTAAAAAACAAGATATAAAAATTATAATCGAAAGTAAAACACATGTGAAATGAAACGTGTCTGAGTTTGACATTCAACGTCAAAGTCGAAAAACATTGACGCGTTGGCTTAAAATTTAGTTTCACAACCCTGTTTTCGAAAAACTCACGTGGAAACATTTATGTTATCAATAAATTTAATCGATAAGCCGCCTATCTACTATTCGTCCACGTAGTGTTATTACCAGGTAATTTGATTCTCCATACTTTAGTTACGGTTAATACTTACGTGTATTTAACTTAAACATTTAACTTATACAAACTCCTAAAAGTAAGACTTAAAATAGTTATTAATAAAGAGAGAGTTTTTAAAATCAGCTACCTTCTTTTACGTAGCAAATTTTAAAGATCCTTTCGTATTTAATACAAAAGTCGAAAGTGAAAAGAGTTTTTAACCAGCTTGGTTAGTTGAAAGTAAAAAGGTTTTATGCATTTTTTTTTACTTTTTATTACAGACAGTAAAATGTTGAGGTTATTAATTGTTGCTGCCTTCGTGCAATGCACAATATCACAACAATATCAACAGAAAGTAGCTCCTGGAGTGCCTCCACAGAATTATCAGGTAATCTTACTAATATTATAAATGCGAATGTTTAAATATCACCGGAACAGTTCAATGGATCTTGATGAAATTTAAACACATAGGTTACTTGCTTTCTTGGCTCTTAAGGTTTTAATTTCATGTGAACATTAAAAACATTATCATGGAGTGTTATAAACCTTTTAGAAGAGATGTATCTCGTAATTTCGTCAAAGAAGTCTGAAAAAAAACGAGAAATTTGATTCAATCAAAATTTAAGTATAGTAGAATAAGCTTTTTTTTTATACCATAAGGTGGCAAACAAGCGAGCGGCCACTTGTAATCGATGAAATAGCGAAGCGACCGTTGCCCATAGACATACGCAATTGCATTGATGCACAGAAAGAAAATATTTTCCCCTTCCATGCATCCGGAAAGTCCATTTCCACTTCACATCCCTTCCTTATGAGAAAAAGGGTGGGAAGGGTAAGAGGACTAAATTAGGCATCCGGGACGCACACTCATCAGACGAAACGCGGAATTGCTCCCACTTCACGCCTGTCTTCTGTGTGGTCAGATGTTAAAGCGGTCTCTACCACAGTTAGAAGCTATTTAAAAATTTCTGAATGTATATTACATTTAAATTTCTAACATTTGATGACAAATATTAGTTCGAAATAGTTATACAAGATAATTTATTGTTAGAAAGAAAATCCGACACTGTCCGACATCAGGGCAACATTGGCCTTGTTAAAATGTCAATGTTAATGTCCCCTCACTACATCTGACACTTGACTTGGTAACAAAACCGCACCATTCGCTCTAAATAATTCTAACTAATATTTATCTTCTTTCTTCTAGAACTACCAGCCTCCACCTCCACCACAGCAAGTAAGTTGTTAAATTGTTTAACTCTTGACTAAACAGATCTAGATAATATGTGGCACCTGTAGACTAGAGCGTCGGTGACTTAGTTGTTAAGCTCTTAATTTGCAATCTGCAAGTCCTAGGTTCGAATCCCGACATCTACTAATATGTTACATTTATCTTATGTTGTTACGGTGAAGGAAAACATCGTGTTGCACATATCTGAGAAAGTCAAAATGTGTGGAGTCTTGCACTAAACCAGCATTCACTATCACATACTCTCACTTATAAGCTCCGAGCGATCATTATAGATTACTGTCTTAAGGACATATGTTATTTACTTAGTTTCTAATTGTTTCAATTTTCACACAAATCTAATTAAAATAAGCTAAATTATAAAATTGTTTCATCTTCAGCAATACCAACAACAACCACCGCAGCAACAATTCCAACAACCGCAACAAATGCAGCAACAACACTATCAGCAACAAGTTCCAGTGCAACAAATACCTGTTCAAGTCTCACCACAACAAGGACATGCTCATCATGGTGGTGAGTATTGATTTGATTGGTAAACAAGCGGTCACCTGAAATCGCTGAAATAACGAAGTGACCGTTGCCCATAGACATACTCAATTGTATATACGTTGCCTTTAATCAACAAAGGAGAGGATGCATAGAAAGAAAATATTTTCCCTTTCCATGCATCCTCTTATCCAGAAAGTCCACTTCCACTTCCTTTCCTTATAAGGGTGGGAAAATAAAGAGGACTAAATTAGGCCTCCGGGGCGGACACTCATCAGACTGTAGTTGGAATTGCTTCGCACTTGAGTCGTGTCTTCTGTGTGGTCTTGGTATTTTACCGGGCGAGGCCAATTCTTGCGAAGATGTTAAAGCGGGCTCTACCACTGTTGCAGTGGTGTGCCTTGTCCGCCGCAATACCACGACCTCACAGAACACATGTCTCGAGTCACAACTCATTACAACTACAGTCTGATGAGTGTGCATGCTGGAGGACTCATTTTAGTATTTCCTTTCCCACCCTTTTCTTATAAGGAAAGGATTGGAAGGGGAAGTGGATTTGACAGAGTAGGGATATACTGTGCGTCCCCTCTGTGAATTAAAGGAAAACTATACATCTGCAATTGGAGATGTTTATGGGCATCGGTCACTTTTTTGACGAATCCAGTTGGCCGTTTCCTCGTTTGTCACCTAATGATATAAAAAAAACTTTCTAGCGTAAATCTTGTAGATATATAGAATGTCAAAGGAAACGCAAAAAACTAGAATTATTTAGTCTCTGAATAAACAAGATATTAGGAATATCTATGTAACTAAGCGTCAATAGCCTAATGGTTAAGGGTACGGATTAACGGTCACGAGGTCGGGGGTTCGAATCCCGACATTCGACTATTGTCGTAAACCATATCCTAGCACAAGCATAGAGCTTAGTTGAAGTACAAGAAATATTAGGAAATGTACAAAAAAATCTGCTTATATTAAAAAAACTAAGTTTATTATTTGAATGGAATCGCAGTTGACTTTTAGTCTTTAATAAAAAAATGTATAATTTTTCAGATCCTCAACTTTTAAATCCGGCTAACATAGCTCAAGAAAGAGAGTAAGTTTACCAAATTTTAATCTTTATTTCTTCTTACTAATATTATAAATGTAAAAGTAACTCTGTATGTCCCGCTTTAACGCCAAACCACTGATTTGATATAAAATCTGGTACACAAAGAGTTTGAATGTATATATGTTACCACATAACTCAAGACTGGTTAAAATTCCAAATAATAAGACTGCAATAGAAATTACACTATTTTATCCATAAAAAATAAGTTTTTGTTAATAATTTTTTATTGTTTTTAGTATTTCTTTTAAATTAATATGCAATAGACATTGTAATTAAGTAGTTTGATATTGTTAACCTTTTCGCAGCCATATCAAAGAACATATGGATGTTCCAATTGATACATCGAAGATGTCTGAACAAGAATTACAGTTTCATTACTTCAAGATGCATGACGCTGATAATAATGACAAGCTTGACGGATGTGAGCTGATTAAATCGTTAATACATTGGCACGGTGAGTGTTTTTGATTTACACACTTCATTACACACTCTTACATTGTTATTACACACTATCATATTGATTACACAATTTCGCTTAATAGAAAATTTTCATTTTAAATTTGATTTTTACACATTTCCATGATATTTTATTTGAGTGAACACCACTTTTATTTTTTACACACTTTCTAATAGTTATTAGCCACTTTAAAATGTATTTTGTGTAACATTTTACATACATTACACACTTTTACTAATATTTATCGAAATTTAACTACAATTTGAACAACTTTTCACTTTTACATAATTTCAAATACAGTCTGAACTTGGGTAAGCGTGAGTCTAAGGGACTGTGATAAATTTCTCGCTTATAGATGTTTCTCTCTTACCTGTTTCTCGATTATGGAAGTCTTCCTCCGTACCAATGACTCTATCTTACCCATCTTAGACTACACACTATTATGTTGTATATTTTAATCTTTAATTAAATTAATTGTTGTAAATATTCAGTGGATTAATTAATAAAGTGCGTTTAAATTTATTTTTTCATATTTATATGTTTTGTTTTGGGGGTTTTTTACTGTGTAAAATGTATTGTGTTGACAAAATTCATTGGGAAATTGCTTTGTGGGGGATGAAATTTATTGCGGGGTTTATATTGTTTTGGGAGAAATCATATTGGGATAGTATGGAAGTACTTCAAAATGTTTTTATTTTTTATTTTTTGAAGGTTTTTTTTTAGATTTAATTTATATTTCATAGAAATGTTAAATATAGTGCTTAAATTTGTGCTCTTTTAGTGTTTTGCTGTATTAAATTTGATAGTAGGGTAACAAATTTAATTTCTAAACTACAAATTTGACATCGGAATTTTCAATATTATTTGAAGTACTTTCATACATATATATTATACATATTTTATGTGTTTTTTGCATAGATAATAAATATTTGATCATCAGCTCACTATATGTCCACATTGAGGGGCTCGGAGCCTACCCTAAGTTAAGGGTGGTTAGGCCATAGTCAACCATGCTGGTCAAGTGCGGGTTGACTTCACACATATCTTTGAATTTCTCAGATATGTGCAGCATCACGATGTTTTCCTTCCGATATAAATATACAATTACTAATTTTACGTAAATTAACTTTAATACTCAGAGTTATTAATTTTGAATTACAGCCTAATTATTTTATTATCTATGTAAATGGCGCGAAACCACTGACATTCCAATGGACAGGATTATACAGACATTTTTTTGTTTTTTTTTTAAAACGCTAATCGAAGTTACTGTCAAATTGAAAATGGCACAAAATACAATACCTATAGCCTGTCTATTGGAATATATAGGATGAGTGAAATTCATTTTCGTGTTTGTTTTTTTATGTGTTGCCATCGCTGCTGGGAAAAAAACTACCATAAATAGAACAAGGTCATAAACAACAACCCCAAGCAGGGTCACCACCAGTTGGTGAGAAAATATTCAATGATGATGAACTGGTTAATTTAATAGATCCAATTTTAAATATGGATGACCATAATAGAGACGGATTTATAGATTATCCTGAGTTTGTAAGAGCGCAACAGAAGAGTCAAAATAAAGATAATTAATTTGTAAAGTTTGTAATCGGACTAGGTTAACGTTAAATTGTGAACTACGTGAAGTCGATTTTTAATAAGAATCATTTGAGAAATAAAAGAAAATTATGAATTTTTTTTACAAAAAAAATATCTCCGTTAACTCATATTACGTCGTTTACATTTTTTTGTGTTTTTTCTGTTTTTAGTTCACATTTGTATGACTAGTCAGATTATAAACTGACGTTATACGCGATATAAATACACATTCCTCGAGGAATTAGTAATTGAGATTCTTCAAATTTTTTAATTTTTTTTTTATTTTTTTTACTCAAATAGTTGATTTTTTGTATGACAACATTGTCAATTATGTATTGAAAAATGAACATTAAGTTAGAAGTCACAAATTTGAGTTTAATTGAGCAAAGACAATTGTATATTTTGGTTGTAAATTTTTTTTTATTAGTCTTCCTGAAAGTGCTTCCTTTACAAGTTTTGAGAGTGAATATGAAGTTAACAGAATTTACAGTGAAGTTATATTAAAAAAAATAACTCTGCTATTGGTCGAAATTTGGATATGTCTTTTAATTAAAAAAATACGCAAACACTTTTTTTTAGAAAAAATTACTTCAAATTTAAGCATTTTTATTCTCAAAACTTGTATTTTACTCGAATATTCTATATATAAGGTTTTATTTTCTTCCAATCCTAATAATAGTTTGTCATTTCATCGAATATTTATAATATACGCCAAACTTTATATGTTTATTTAAATAAAAAGACCCTAAGTTACTTAAATAAAAAAGATAATGGCGTTTCTCCAGACTTTTGGGAGTAATAATAAGTCTAGACTGAATTTACAAAATGGCATTTTTTTCCGCAAAAATTAGAATCTCGATTACACGTCAAACTTAAATTACACACTACACTATAAATGCGAATGGATGGATGGATAGATGGATGTTTGTCAGAAGGTATCTCCTAACTAGAACGGTTAGAATGGATCTCGATCAAATTTGTCATACATATAGAACATAGTCTGAAAGAACACATATGCTATTAATTTTTTCAATTCCGCGCGGACGCAATCGCGGGAGACCGCTAGTATATTTATGATTATATAATATTTAAAGATATCTTTTATTGTAACTATTGTTTTTATATATGTATGTAATCTGTATAAAATATTAGGCTTGGATTGTCTCGATTACTTACTTTTCTCCACTATTCTTGTGATATTATTTTTCTTTGAAGAAAACTTTATTTTCCTTATGAATAAAAACTCATCTGATGAGTATTTGTTGTGTATGAAGTGAATTAAATGATAATTATTTGAAAATATGGATTAAATAGTTATTTTCTTGTAATAACCCCTGAATCTTTTATAATTTATTTACGCGCGTATTAAGTTTTGACAGCTGACATTTATAGCGGAAAATAGCTGGTGTTATATAACGTTAATATGCGTTATTTTTATAACCGTTAATTTAACGGTTTATAAAAGTTATTTGACTTTTTAATTTAATAGACGTTATGTGAATAAAAAAAAATTGAATTATGTATGAAAAATAAAGTCTATTTTAACAAACATAGCCTTTATATTAAAAAAATATCACAGAAATTGTAATAATTGTTTTTTTTTTATAGCCACGATATAACTTACTAACCTAAAGAAAAGAAGGCAATATTTTTGACATTTTTTTTTTCACTAAAAAAATCTAACCTGCGCTTTTTTTAAATCTTGCTGACCAAGTTATTATGCTGCGATGTTATTTATTAACTAATATGAAGACGTAAACATGCAAATTAAGAGTTTTGCAGTATTTGTGAACAGATTCTTAGGGTCTTTTGGTATCGATCTGATTTTTTTTTATTTTTTATATATTTTTTAAGTAATAGTTCTATAGTTAACTAGAATAGATTTATTACAGAAGAAAGCGGTATTAGTTTACATAGAAGTCTAGCTTTAGAAGAAGCTATACCTGTTGTGGATAAATTGTTGTACCAAATGGACGTCGACAACGATGGATACGTTGATTGGCCGGAATTAAAAGTTTATCATGCTAGACTATAGATTATATGAGATGGGAACTCGTTAGTCAGCTCTGCAACGCTGAAAAATATAAATATTTTTTTTTTTTTACAAAATTAAAAATTGATTTTTTGTTACTTTTTTATTATTTTTTAATGTACCTTTTTATTGAATATTAGTGAATGATTGTAATTTTATAAATTGATTTTTTTCCCTTTTAAAAATTTTGCAAAATTACCATTTACGTTTTTGGAATATTGAACGGTCGACGATATTATTTACTGGTAACTAACATTTTATTTTAAATAAAATGTCGTATATTATTAACGATTTACGAATAATAACAATCATATATTAAAAAATATATATTTTTTACGATTTTTTTTACATGTTTTACCAATTTTATTTATTTCATCTGTTGAAACATTTGGGCGTTTTTCATAAAAGTCACGTATGTGCTAATTTTTACAATCATTGGTATATACACTATTTATCTAAATTTAGACATATATTTTTATATATGTAAATTAATTCGATCAAATCGTATCTAACATATTTTCAAATAAAAATACGTTGATAGCTTTTTAATTATTCAAAAACAGTTGATTAACTGTTATCGATAGTGAATAACGTTATTAAACGGTTAATAGTTAATAACGGTTAACGTAAACAGTTATTAATCGTTTCAGACGAACACGTCAAAATCGATCCTAATGTTCAAACTTTATCAGACGAAAGATTGGCTTCGATAATCGATGTAGTTTTTGAGCAAATGGATACAAATTTAGATGGATATATTACATGGGTTGAATCCAAAGCTAAAAATGGCGTTGCTGTGTTACCAAAATGATGTTAATTAAATTTGTTGACTGTTTTAAATTTCTTTTTATTACGTTTGGCAATTGATAATTTATATATAAATTAATATAGTTATTACAACCTTACATCTTACTAATATTATAAATGCGAATGTTTAGAACAGTGGTTCCCAAACTTATTTTATCTACAGCCCACTTTGAGAATAAATATTTTTTTTAGCGCCCCCATATTTTCACATATTTAAAAGCCACTATAACTTCAAATTAAATTAATTATTATGACATATATATGTATATTAACGGAGAATTCTAAACGAAACTTTTACTATAACCCGCAACTTGAGACCTGCAGCGCCCACAACGGGACGTTATCGCCCACTTTGGGAAAGACTGGTTTAGATGGATGGATGTTTGTTTTTAGATATCTCCAGAACGAATGCATGGATTTCGTTGAAATTTAGCATAGATGTAAAACATAGTCTGGAAGAACACATAGGCGGCTACTTATTAAGGTTGTTTTTTGTTCCGCGCGGACGGAGTCGCAGGCGATAGCTAGTTTATACAAAATGACATTTGAAAAATCGACTCTTTGATTAGATGTCAAATTTGAAACATTCTATATATAGGTTATGGGAGGAAGATTTTAGAAGATGAAAAGTTTAGCAAGACAACGTAAATTAAGGTAATATCCATCTCAGAATTATTAATTAGTCACTAAGGTAGACCGTTAGAATTGTCTTTAAGCTTTAGCTTTTATATGTGGTGTTGGAAATTTGTGTAGATTATAAAAAATAAGTGAAATATGCTTCGTTAAAATGTTTGTTGCATTTTTGAACCACTGACATCTGATATACGTTGGACTACTGACCTCTATAAATGGATAGGCGATTGCTTGGAAATGGCAGTTTATGCTCCGTTTAAATGCGTCTGTTGATGTTACGTGACATTCTATCTCTATTTTTATTTCTTCTTCACACCACCGCAAAAGGCTACCATCAGCGTCAAAATGGCGGAAATCAAAAACGCACAAAACACTACTTCTTAAAGCCAGTCCGTTTATAGAGGTTAGTAATGGCACAAAATAACACGGACTATAGCCTGTCCAGTGTAAAAATCTCTTTGAAAACAGAGTATAAAATAAACGTCATCTGTCAAGTTTTTTTACCGCGAACATAACCTAATTAACAGGACGAAGTATTGTGTTGTTTTTTTAAAACTCCTCACTTAATCTGGGGTAAGTTTGTGATTTTTTTTTGATATAAGTTTTTTTTTAATTTATTTGCGTCTCAACATGACATAGTTCTTATCTTTAGGAAATTATTTTCTAGAATTAAATATCGTTGAATTGTTTCTGCGTTTCACAGTATTTTGCAAGGAAGGTGACACTTTATATCTATCCCTTTCATTTTCTTAGTAGTGTGACATGTCATAATAGTGACATGTCGTGTTATAGAACAATGACGTAAGTAAGTCATAGAAGAACGTTTTGAAATTTGGTCGCTTTTTTATTTTTCTTAAATGTTTAAATGTTACTAATATTATAAATGCGAATGGTTATATGTTTGTTAGAATCTCCAGAACAGCTGCATGGTTCTTGATGAAATTAATCATAGATGTAGAACATCTGGAAGAACACTTTAAGCCATTTTTGTATATTTTACTTACGTCATTATTCTATTGTATAAGCGTTATAAGTCTGCTGTTTGCAGTTAATTAACAAATATGTTTTAGGTCAAGTTGATAAAAATCATGATGTATACACGGACGAACAATTGGAAGAGCTTTTGGAACATGTATTCAAACATACAGATTTAAATAACGATGGATATATCAGTTATTTGGAATATAGAGTTAGTAATTACAAGGGACAAGTGTCAAGAAAGTAATAAAATTCCGATGCCGAAATGTCTTGCAAAAATACAATTTGTCTCTGTCTATTTAAGATGGATTAGTTTGACAAGTGACGTGTATAAAGTATAGAATTAGTATTGTATGAGAATTAATGTTGTACTTAATGTACGTGATAGTGTCGGAGTGTCGAGAATCAAATCTTGTTATAAAATTAATCCAACAAATTAGTAATATAATTTAGGTGTATTATAACTTTTTGAATTTATAACATATGGCTACGTATCGCACAATTAATTTAAAAAAATATATCACTTTTTTTGTTTGATAGCACTAGGATTTTTGATTTAAAATTATATTTCTTTATGTAGTTATTTCTTTAGTAGGCACATAATAAATCAATTTTATTTATATTGTAATTCAAGAACAATAATCAAGAAATTTTAGATGTAAGTATTTCGGTAACGGAAAAAAATAGTTTTTCTAGTACAGATAAAAAAAAATCGTCTTTTATTCAACGCATTTCCAGAACATACTAATAATTAACAAAATAAATTAAATCGTTTATATGGTGTTTTTATTTACCTTACGTTTTTAGCTTTTATTAAGATACAGGTAAGTTTTGAAGTTAAGTTATAAACAATTTGAGCAATAATGTCAGTAAAGGTCGCCGACTTGCAAACAAAATGAATATGTAAATATATGGGAAATGGGAACAATTTTTTAGTTACGCTACTCGACACTAGATGTCATTGTTTCAAATGGTGGGTGGTTCTGCTTTCCTTTTCCGACACTAGATGGCACTATTACTAAAAATTGTTTCAAAAATGTAAACATTGGCTTATTACGTTTGTTTTTTACAGACGACCATGGAAAAATTGTTGAATCCGAAGTTAAATATGGAGACAAAGATCTGGAGGAAATTGTGAACGGAGCTTTGAAGCAGGCGGATCGTAATAATGACGGCTATATCGATTATTTTGAGTACAAATCCGTATAAAAGAACAAAATTGTATTCAAATGACAGCTGTCAACGCTATTTTGCTTACGAATGCGCCATTATGTGACGTTATTTTTATTAAATTAGAATAGTTTTATGTATGAACAAAAAACTTTTTATAGTAAAAAGAATTTGGATATTTAGAAGTATTTTAATAAAGCAAAATTAAGGAAAATACATTAAAATACTCTTTAATATACGTAATTTTGTTTTAAATAACTGATTAAGACTAGTCAAAGGTTTTGTAAAGCAAATTTATATTTGTCCGACTTTTCTCTCTATTTTTTAAATAAAAGACTTGATTGAAACACACAATTTTATTTTTTAAAACTTAAACGTTTAAAATCAAAAATTAAAGTCTTAATACAAAAAAGAGTTAAATTAAAGGAATTACATTTTTTTAATTATTTCCGCCATTTCGTATTTTAAACTCTTAATTTGAAATCAATGACATTAATGGCACAGATAAATGCAAAATACATATTATTTTTAAATGCAAATTGAATCAGAACAAGCCACTAACAGTTTGAGTAACTCCATTTGTTAAAAACATAATAAAATATATCGCCCTCCCAATTCTATTAATATAAAATAATTTTGTCAACATTCCGTGGGTTTCTGAGACGAAAATCTCTGATAAAAACATATTGTCTCAGTTTTATCATCATCATTCATCATTAAATTTATTAAGATAAAGATTGGGATGACGATATGTTTTATATAGAGATTTTTGTCTCAGAAAATCCCGTTTAGTCACCAATTTCAGAAAATATTCCATTTAATATTCAAATAAATTAGCAAATATTTGATTCAACAATACAGCTACTCGAATAAAACTGGGCCTATTTACTATAAAAGCAAACATATAATTAAATCAATAAAAAAACCTAATAACTAACACTATTTTTAAGAAAAAAGGTCACAGCGCCAATATTAAAAACTAAATACAGGATGTTATAATTAAAATATAATTAATTAAATTTATAATTAATAAAAAAATGCAAAATATAACATCATCATCAGCTCACTATACGTCCCCACCGAGGGGCTTGGAGCCTACTAAGTTAAGGGTGATTTGACCATAGTCAACCACGCTGACCAAGTGCGGGTTGACTTCACACATATCTTTGAATTTCTTATCAGATATGTGCAGATATGTGTTATATCGTGATACAAAATATAACGTTACAATACTTTTGACGAGTCTTTTCCGTGAGTTCCTAAGCCCGAAATCTCTATATAAAATATATCATCCCTGTCTTACATCTTTGACAAAACAGAGATATTTTAAACGAAGATTTCGGGCTCAGAAACTAACGGTAAGTCATCTATTATAGCATTCGTTTGAAGTTTCATTTAATTATCTAATATTAGGATGATAAATATATGAATATATAGTATAAGATTTAAACATCGAATGTTACTTTATTTTGGTGTTTGCCGTTGGACATATTGAAGGGTAGACCGTTCGACCAAACAGGCAACGTGTCTTTACTTTAATTGTGGATTGTTGGGTTTCGACAACTATTTACTTATCTTATATAGTCTAAAAAGTATAAAAACTACATAGATTCTAAAATCAGATTTAATATTTTGTATATCTACCAATAACCTTTGTTATCTCATAAAGCATAAATATATAAAATAAAATAAGAAAAAATAGATTAACTTTTAAAACGAAAAGAATTAAAATTAGTGCTTACTCTTGAATTAAAACATCTTTTTGCCACTCAACACTAGATGTCGTGACCATAACTTGATACATTGGACTGACAAAATGTTTGAATGTTTAGATTTTTAGATTATCTGATGAAAAAAATAAATAAATTTAAATCATATTCCTAAGGGATTAATACGTCAAATGACGCTATATCAATGTTCAATAAACTTTGTAACGGCGTGAAAAGTAATCCAAAATAGTCTTAAGCTGACTAAAATATAATTTATATTTTTTATAATACGCGAATTTCATATAATTACAAATATTAATATATAATTGTATCTTTCCCCCTTTATTTAACTTAAAAATAAACAATTTATAGTATAAAAAAGACAGCACACAAAAGAAACAGCACATATTATTTTTATAATTACGATAAAATCCAAAAAATAATAGTAAATAGTGTAATTTCATAACTTTTATATATAGGCAATATCTAAGCTATCTATCATCAATTAGTTTCCACGCCATCTATAGTTAACATTTAATTTAATTCAAGATTAGTTTGCACGCCATCTATCGGTCACCAGTCGAGTGGGTTCTGCATCGCCTGCTTGAGCGAGACGCTACTTTCACTGTAGAATTGCATGTACCAAGCGCGGAAAGCGCGGATTGTCTTGTCTGAACGCACGTACGCGGGCGAGCTCACGTAGCGTTTGCTGTTCCAGATTGCCACGTCTCGTTTGAACTATATATACAAGACATGGTATATAAATGGCTATCATTCGATAATTACTTTTCTGTTAACCACAATGTTACAAGACTTTTTATAGTAAAAGCTGGGAAACTTGGAAAAAGTGACTTGCACATAGACAAAGGAGGGGACATTGTTCCACTTTCGTTCCCACTTCGGCCAAATCCACTACCCCTTCTCATCATTTCCTTAAAGGGTGGGAAGGGAACTAAAATTAGGCTTCTGGAACACACTCATCAAACTGTAGAATGAGTTGTCACTCAAGGAGCGTCTTCTGTGTGGTCGCGGTATTGCATATGTATAAAGTTTGAATCACACAAAGGAACTGACTTCAGAGCTAAAAAGAGAGTGCCGTAAATATCTCGACCAGGGTGCTAGTAAACCTTCACGTTACTGTAAGAAAATCTTTAAACCTTCACAAAATACATTTTCCACTGACCTGAGAAGCCTCAGCTAGTACCATGAATGCTCCGAATATCGCGTTGTGTTTCGGAGTGAAGACGCGAGTCACAACGCGCTGCAGTAACGCGCTGAGAGGAGTTACCGACTGAGCCACGAGTAGAGAGCCAAAGGGACTTTCGAAGTGTAAACGCACGTGGCTCGGACCGATCTAATGAATATTAGATTTAAAAATGCACTCAGAGATGTTTAAGGGTAACACTTATGGTAGATTTATGATGAGTATCTATTCAAACGACTACTAATATGTTTGAATACGATAGTAAGCAGACAAATGAAGGAATAATTCAAAATAATAAACAGAAAAAAACTGAATGCTTGATCGGGATAATACTATTTAAAAAACCTAAACTTAATTTTAAAAACCAAAAAACTTTACTGACAAGTTCTAAAGAATTAAATAGCGCCATCTATTATCAGCATTTTAAAACAAAGATTTTTAAAATTTCAAATTTTAACTGTGACATGACTCAAAATATGTAAAAAAGAGATATGATGAGTAAAAACTCATTATGCTTATTTAGAATTTTATTTCTCACATTCACTGTACGTATTTTATTCCTATGTAATATACTTAATGACACTCTTTGTAAGAATACAAATAGAATGACACCTCACACGTCAAAATCTGTTCACTCCTTTACGATACAGGATGTTACAATTTAATTTACTAGTACTTGTTTCGTCTCTAGGCCTCAATGTACCTCGTACATCACCTCCTAAGTTAGAATTATTTATATTACCTGTGTCACAGAAACTTTCATTGGGAAGACATCGCATTTCATCACAATGTACTTCTGCTCAATCACCATGTGAGCCTCATGCGCCTTCTCACCGCGACACCACTCCGCTGCCCAGATGTGTTGACCTACGTTTTTTATATAAAAAGTCAAATGAAAATTGAAACGCCTTATATCAGTTCAAGTGTAGCATTTGTTGCGTTATATTTGGGTCGTTCACGTACATACACGTGCTACCGGTCCAAAGGTCCAACATCGACTGACGCCTCCTCTCTCAAAACATCAACCATCCATCATTCCATCAAAACATTCGCATTTATAATATTAGTAACATAGTAAGATGGGTACATTGTATCATCTCTTTAAACAAGGATTTCCCGTGTCTTTCCAGAACTTAATTTAAAATTAATACTTCGAATAAAATGGAACATTCGAGACAGCTTGGAACTTAAATTTACTTACCAATGATGTTATGTAAGATAGGAAATCGATTCCCAATTTCAGTAAGCAATGAAGTTGAATGGAGAGCATTTAGATGAGCCACATCAGCACCATTTTCTGGTATTTCCTGAAAAATGAAAAGCTAGATTAAATCTAGCAGATCATCCTTTAGAATTTCAGCTAAAATAATAGACCAAGATTTTGTCCAATAGCTCCATCATTCCAGCCATAAAGATGTTTTTCTTACCATGACTCCTCACTTACCTGAATATGAGCGTTGATCATAAACTCATTCCTTCCTCTAAATTTCATGTTCTTCATCTCCGGAGCTTCAGATACTATCCATAGTGGATCACGACCTTCAGCATCATGCCACACCCAAACTGCACCATCTATCTCCGTGGTATGGTACTTCTTGATACTGATGCCAGCTGGCACTGTGAAGAATACTCTATTGTGTGAAAGGGAGCTATAAATTCTGATATGAAGAGTTTGGAGTTAGTATATAATATGTAGTTGAGCGTACATGGCTCAGAGGAGAAGCGCTTGACTTGCTGCAAGTCCTGGGTTCTAATCCCACCATATACTAATGTGTTTTTCGATTTCTGATTTACATATGTATATTTATCCTACTTTCTTACGGTGAAGGAAAACATCGTGATGCTGCACATATCTGGGAAAGTCAAAGATATGTGTAAAGTCAACCCGTACTTGGCCAGCGTGGTTGACTATTGTCTAGTCTCCCCTTAATTTAGATAGGCTCCGAGCTCCTCAGTGGGGACGTATAGTGAGCTGATGATGAAAATAATACGTAGTAGGCTTCTTAAGGATAATGGGCACGGCTGATAGAGATGTACGGATGTACATACATAATGTGTCGACCTTCCGTAGGGATGAAGGCAGGTTGATATTCCTGAATCTAGTGTGCAAATGTTTTTCTTGTTGCCGTGAGACTTACCAGTTTCTACATCAGGTATTCCAACGCATTGACCCTCGGCGTTGAACCTCCACTGGTGGAATGGACATGTGATACAGCTGCCGTTGACCGTACCTCCTATACCCAGGTTAGCACCCAAATGGGGACAATATGCCTCCACACAGCGAGCCACACCGTCCTCACCACGGTAGACGCAGAGATTTAATCCTATCAGAAATAATTATACAAAATAACATTTGATAAAGGTTCGTATACACTTAAGAACCGTACGAACAACGCTCGGCTGTCGAATGTTGCTCGGAAGCGACAGCCGAGCCTTGTTCGTACGGTTCTAGTTTATGTCTAAACAAACCTTAATACTTTCCTAAGATAAAATATAGACATAAAGAGTAATTTTTTTAGGCAACGTTTACATGACAGAAATGTAAAATTCTTAATAATGAGTGTTGCCTACAGATACGGAACCTTCTTACACGTTTTTTAATCATAATTTTTATATTTGGAACTATATATTTTTTCATTCTTTTTCTTTGTATGACATAGCAGTTGTAAATATATCTTCTAACAGTGCGTGCTTATCTCTTCATGTTCATAATTCTATTTTATCCCACTTCTGACACCAAATAAAGACGAAGGAAAATATGAAGATGGAAAGAGCGGTTGAAAGAAGAATTTTGGAATTTATATAATAAAATTAAAAGACAAAATGAAAATATAAAATAGAATTATGAAAATGAAGAGATAAACACTGGAGTAGGAGATGCATTGGAAGGGACATCTTTCCGTACGTCCCTTTCTCCGTCGATTAAAGGTAGACAATGCATCTGGAATTGCCGATGTTTGTGGACGATTCAACGAATTCATGTGTACGTTCGTTTACACGTATACGTTATAATATAAAAAAATGCTTGGAGAAATATATTATACTAGCGGACCCGACAGACGTTGTCTGACAATTTGACACTGTGATGGTAGCGCCGTCTGTCGGATCCAATGTAAAACATTCCAAAATCAACAACTACTAATAAATTAAAAATTAATTAAAAAAAAAACATTGTCCAGCGGACAAAATTGTGAATCTAAGCCATTCCCAGATCCCCTTGAACACACACAAAAAATTTCATTAAAATCGGTCCAGTCGTTTGAGAGAAGTTCAGTGACACACACTCACAGAAGAATTATATATACAAAGATAGGCAACTTACCTAATGCATCTACGGAGATCACCTTGCCGACTTTAAGATCCCTACTTTCAGCGACAGCGAACCAGCCATTAGGGTAAGGAGGTGGGAGCTTATTTCCTAATTGCTTTGCACTCTGTACCCTGTTGATATTCATTGCCCTGTCTTTTTTGCCACTTATATGTTCATAACCAATGTCAGTCAATTCCTGAAATATTAATATATGTAAGATTTATGATATTAAAAACTTTATAATACGATAAGCATTTGAACTACAAATATAGAAGGGTAGAAAAAAATGTTTTAGACATTATTAGTTAAAATCCTTTGCCGCGAATGACGTGCTTTCGTTACAAAGTCAAGTGTCAGAATGAATAGTGAGGGGACATAAAAGTTGTCATGTTAGTAAGGCTAGTGTTGGGTCAATACACTGACACATTTTCGGATTTTCTTCCTAACACATATTAAAAGAATCTTCTTTGTAGTAGTAAAAAATAGACTAGGGTTTAAACACGATCAAAATATAGCAATAATTACAAGGACGTTGATGACAAGGAGGGTATAGCAAAATTTATTTTTAGGGTTCCGCACCTCGAAAGGAATAATACGGAACTCTTATAGGATCACTTTGCTGCCCGTACGTGTCTGTCAAGACATTTTAATTCTAAAAAAACTGAAGAAGTAGTTATGTTTATATATGTTTAAAAACTCCAGAGCTGGGTGGATGCCCCTGTTGTCGACAACCATAAAAATAAAGCTAACATGGTTTTAACCAAAAAAAAAATTGGAAGAAATATAACATTATAAATTGTTGAAACGTAAAAACATTGTGTCAATGATATACGGTAGTTGGATATTTTATTATATAAATAATATTACTAACCTTCACATAAATCGGTGGACTGAAATAACTCTTGTATAAAATATATAATAAAAATAATATTATTCCACAAAATATTAAATAACCAATGTTGTCAATAAACAAATTGATTCCTGAACGAACAGTAGCCATTGCCAAGTTCGTCGTGAATACGTTAACTTCCTGTTCCATATTCAAATAATGACATTGCGCGGGAATTGTTTTTCCATCCGCCATCTTGTCTTGATAAAATTCGCCCGCAGTATTATCTGCCGTATTTATCATAGAGATGTCTGCAAATAAAAAACTGTTTTATGCTTCAATTGAATAAAATGTATATTTTTGATTTGTTTTTAATCTTACTATAGTGTTTCTTTCTTTATATATATAAAAGGAAGTCGTGTTAGTTACACTATTTATAACTCAAGAACGGCTTTACCTATATGCCTGAAAATTGTTGAGGAGGTAGCTTACAGCCAGGAGACGGACATAGGATACTATTTATTCATTTTTTTTCGAATTTATGCCTTGAAGAGTTGCTTTTTATTTAACTTACTAATATTATAAATGCAAATGTTTAGATGGATGTGATGTGGATGTATGGATGGGTGTTTGAAGATATCTCTAGAACGGCTGAACGGATCTCGATTAAATTTGGCTTAGATGTAGAACATAGTCTGGAAGAACACATAGGGTAGTTATTTAGTTTTTATTTTTTCCACGCGGTCTGAGTAAAAGGCGACAGGTAGTATAAAGTTGAGTTGTCTGCTACTCGCTGTTAGATGTCGCTAAAATTAATTTATACAAAAACCCATACAATTTTATATTCTTAAAGAGCGTCGGTGGCTCAGTGGTCAAGCACTTGATTTGCAATCTGCAGGTCCTGGGTTCGAATCTCGCCATGTACCGATGTGTTTTTCGATTTCCGACTTACATATGTACATTTATCTGTCGTTCTTACGGTAAAGGAAAACATCGTGATGCTGCACATATCTAAGAAAGTCAAAGATATGTGTGAAGTCAACCTGCACTTGGTTAGCGTGGTTGACTATGACCTAATCACAGTTAACTTAGGGTAGGCTCCGAGCCCCTCAGTGGGGACGAATAGTGAGCTGATGATTCTTAAACTTAATTTACTTGTATAATACTTTTAAATGTGATAATAATTAATTTGTTTTATTTTTTATTTACTTTTTTTAATGTTACTTTTATATTAAAATGCATTTGAAAGATAACGAAGTTATCAATCCAACTATTTTATACAAGTACTTACGATGTGAAATTAATTAAAAAACGTAAAAAATCGTACTTTATTTGACATTTAATTAATGGTAGGTTTTTACAATGAATTTAAAATTGTTTCACATAATATTGTCCATTTTTATCAAAGAGTATCTTATATATAAAAGAAAGTGGTGTTAGTTACACTATTTATAATTCAAAAACGGCTTTACCGATATGCCTGAAAATTGGTGAGGAGGTAGCTTAGAGCCAGGAGACGGACATAGGATACTATTTATTCATTTTTTTATTCGAATTTATGCCTTGAAGAGCTGCTTTTTACTTAACTTATCTATATATTAAGTTTTTTATATGTCCACACGGACGGAGTCGCGGGCGACAGCGACTAAAGATAGAGTGGGGTAAACGAACCATTTTTTGGCCACCGGCAAAACTCGTATGAATAAATTATAGATTTAAAAATAAGGTTATCTTTTTTAAATTCAATGTAACAATTTCGCAACTCGTGTAATATTTTAATTGCTTCATAAATAAAATAAAAAATAATTAAAATTACTATATAGACCTAAATATTCGAATTAATTAATTGATAGGCGTTTCAATTTACATATGTAAATATTTAAACAATCCTCAATGTTAGTTCTCTTACTTGTCAGGCTAGCTTTCACCCGCGAATTCGTCATCGTAGAAAAAAAAGTTGTATATAACATGGCCACGTACATCAACTACCTTCAAGTCAAAGTCCCGTCAAAATCTGTCCACACGTTCCCGAGATTATACGGTACAAACGCGACCTTGTAGCCAGACTTTAGACTTTAACAGTGGTAGAGCCCGCTTTAACATCTTCGCACGAATCGGCCCGGCTCGCCCGGTGAAATACCACGACCATACAGAAGACACGCCTCAAGTAGAAGCAATTCCAACTACAGTCTGATGAGTGTGCGTCCCGGATGCCTAATTTAGTCCTCTTTCCCTTCCTACCCTTTTTCTTATAAGGAAATGATAGGAAGTGGAAGTGGACTTCCCGGATGAGATGCATGGGAAGGGAAAATATTTTCTTTCTGTGCATCCTCTCCTACGTCGATTTAAGGTAGGCAACGCATATGCAATTGCGTATGTCTATTGGCAACGGTCACTTCGCTATTTCAGCGATTTCAAATGACTCACCCGTTTGCCACCATATGATATAAAAAAATACCCAAAGACAGAATTTCACACGGACGAAGTCGCGGGCACAGCCAGTACATAAAGAAAGGGCAGTAAGGAGTGCCTTTGTTTTAGACAATATTATATAATGAACCAAAGTAATTTTTATTCGTTTAATTTACATCGTTTAATTTTTTGTTTGATTTTTCCTTGAATACGAGATTTAATAGGAAGTATTATTTTTAAATGTATTATATAAAACTCGAATATACAATGAGCCTATTTAATAAAAATTGAGCATTAAAAAATCTTATTAGATGCCCAACGAACCGTTACATTTGTGGTCTTAATTAAGGACATTGTGATAAGCATTTCTAAACAGTTTAGTATTTTGTTTATATCATTTTATTATAATAAATAATTTTACGTGTAACCATTTTTTTGTGGATGTTACCCGACTAATTTCTATGTGATTTACCCTAATATATTTTATGATATTATAAGATTGCAAACGAGCGAGCGGCCACCTGAAATCGCTGAATGACAAAGTGATCATTGCCCATAGACATACGCAATTGCATATGCGTTGCCTACATTTAATCGACGGATAGGATGCACCGAAATAAAATATATTCCCCTTTCTATGAATCTCATCCGGAAATTTCAGTTCCACTTTCCATCATTTCCTTATAAGAAAAAGGGTGGGAAGGGAAAGAGGACTAAATTAGGCCTCCGGGTCGCACACTCATCAGACTGTACGCAGAATTGTTTCCATTTTCCGCCTGTCTTCTGTGTGGTCGTAATACGATAATACTCAGTCGTCTACATTGAGTCGATAGAGTCTAGTCCCAATCTAGCACGAAATGCGACACGTGATATTACAAAATCTATCAAATATGTCGATATATTAAAAACTGGAAGATCACATAGGGCTAATTTTTTTTAATTCGCTCGGCTGGAGTTGCTGGAGTTTCCTTATAAGGAAAGGATGGGAAGGGTATGTAGATATGACAGAGGAGAGGAGGTATAGGTAAGGATATATCCCCTTTCTGTGTCTCCTCCGTCAATTAAAGGTAGGCAACGCATATGCAATTGCGTATGTCTATCGACAGCGGTCGCTTCGCTATTTTGATGAATTCAGGTGCACGCTTGCACGTTTCAATATTTCGTTTTTGCGTTAATGTCTACTAGCTGTCGCCGGCGACTCCGTCCGTGTAGAATTTTAAAGGAACATAATTAGTAGGCTATGTGTTCTTCCAGGCTATGTATGCCATATTTTATCGAGATCTATGCAGCCGTTCTGGAGTTACCTTTAAACATCCATCCAGACACGCATTTATATTATTAGTAAGTTTATATGTTTTTGCCGTGTTTCATTATTTAGGCATGCGTTAGTTATCAAATTACGAGTACTTATAATCAAAAAATTTCCTTATATTATATTTATTACATAAAACTAGCCTTGTTTACGTCGACAATTAAATATATTAGGTCAATATCATATTTTAAAAAACCTTACTAATATTATAAATGCGAATGTTTAGAGCGTCGGTGGCTCAATGGTCAAGTACTTGGCTTGCAAATTGCAGGTACTGGGTTCGAATCCCGCCATGTACCAATGTGTGTTTCGATTTCCGATTTACATATGTACATTTGAGGAATGAATGTACACATGAAGGAAAACATCGTGATGCAACCTGCACATACCTGAGAAGAAATTCAAAGATATGTGTGAAGTCAACCAACCCGCACCTGGCCAGCGTGGTTGACTATGGCCTAATCACCCTTAACTTAGGGTAGGCTTCGAGCCCCTCAGTGGGGACGTATAGTGAGCTGATGATGAATGTTTAGATGTTAACAGAACGGTTCTACGGATCTCGTTGATTTAATATAATAGAACAAAGCCTAGAAGATTATTAACACTATGCGTCCCCACTGGGTGTCTCTGTGTCTACCCTAGTTACACTATTTATAACTCAAGAACGGCTTTACCGATATGACTGAAAATTGTTGAGGAGGTAGCTTAGAGCCAGGAGACGGACATAGGATACTATTTATTCATTTATTTCGAATTTATGCCTTGAAGAGCTGCTTTTTATTTAACTTACTAATATAAATGCGAATATTTAGATGGATGTGATGTGGATGGATGGATCTCGATTAAATTTGACATACATATAGAACATAGTCTGGAAGAAGACATAGGCTACACTAATTAAGTTTTTTTATGTATCCACGCGGACGGAGTCGCGGTCGACAGCTAGTTTATAATATTTAAATCATCAGTCAGTAACTAAATATCTTATTTTAGCCCCCCATAGACACTCCTTCAGGCCTCACTTGATTAATGGACGAACCCAAAGGTATAGGCACTTCAGTAAGTGAAATGGGTATCGTCAAATTTATTCAACGGTACGATCGGTCTGGTTTGCAACTGTTTAATAATTTATATGATTTTAAAATAGGTTTTTTTTTTTTAACTTGAATCACGAATAAGAGGTTTTTTTTATTATACAGGGTGTCCGGGATTGACGTATACAGTGTACCACAGATTCCTTGTTCGAAAATATACAGATTTAATGTAGCTAAGGCGTAGTTTAGGCGCGACATTTATTCAAACACTAGCTGTCGCCCGCTACTCCGTCCGTGCCGAACTACAAAAGTAGTAACCTATGTGTTTTTCCAGACTATATTCTAGATCTATGCCAGATTTTAGCAAGATCTATACAGCCATTCTGTTGATACATTCAAACAAACATCCATCCATCCAGATAAGCGACATAAGCGCCAATAGCCTAATGATTAAGGTTACGGATTTACGATCATGTGGTCGAGAGTCGAATCCCGCCGTTCGACTATTGTCGTTAACCATATCCTAGCACAAGCGTAGAGCTTAGTTGGAATGGTAAAAGACATATTAGTAAATTTATGAAAAAATCAGCTAATATTTTAAATATATAAAAAAAAGATAACTTGAAAACTTCGATTATCTTTACATAAGTGAATTTGTAACGTAATTGTAAAGAAAACTTTTTACAAAAATATGATTAATTACGACATGAAATAAATATGAATATGAAAAATGAAAGCTCAATTTAGTTATTTTTAACATGTTTCTATAGATGTTTTTCAACAGTGAAAACAGTTAAAAAACAAAATCAATCTATCGTCTTAACTTCGTTTAATTGTCGAAACTTTTTAAATGTAATTTAAATATATATAAAAAAGTTAATTAGTGTAGCCTATGTCATCTTTCAGACTATGTTCTATATGTATGCGAAATTTAATCGAGATCCGTTCAGCCGTTCTAGAGATATCTTCAAACACCCATCCATCCACATCACATCCATCTAAACATTTGCATTTATAATATTAGTAAGTTAAATAAAAACCAACTCTTCAAGGAATATTAAAATAAAATGAATAAATAGTATCCCATGTCCGTCTCCTGGCTCTAAGCTACCTCCTCAACAATTTTCAGGCATATCAGTAAAGTCGTTCTTGAGTTATAAATAGTGTAACTAACACAACTTTCTTTTATATATATAGAAAGATAATTATTGTTAATAAATTTAATTTTTTTACTAAAAAAGAATCTTTTGGTTCAAGAAAAATAATCTTAAAAATCAACAAACAAACACAAAGTAAATAACTAGTATAAAAAAATAAACTTACCTATTTTATTACTAGTATTCAGTTACACTAATATTTTGATATTAAAATTTTTTTTTTCCTAATTTTCAAAACACGACCTGCTTCCCAGACCGCCTAAAAACAACTGAACTGAAACACGTGAGATGCCTTTTATGTATGTCTAGCACAAATGCGATCGAGTTTTTTTTATAAAAAGGTAAGGGAACGTACCCATACTACGTGACCTGTTTAGAGGGGGCGGGGGGAGTCTTTAAAATACTACGGTCAGTCACAGTCTATGTGTTCTTCCAGACTATGTTCACATCTATAAGAAAATTGAACAAGTACCTTCTTTCTGGAGATATCTTCTAACATACATCTAAACATTCGCATTTATAATATTCGTAAGAGTATTATTTATAAGGAGGCTAAGCGGGGAGTTCGGGATTCACTCGAGGAGCAAACATAAAGGAGGAATCTTTCACCCAATCATGTACTCAAATATATAAAACTCTTCATACAAGGACGCACGTTAAGACAGATAAGGATATAAAGTAAAAAAGTCTATTAAAAATGCTCTTGCAGATTGAGACAGAATAAGGTAATCTTATATATAAAATTATCGTATTACAATTTTCGTTCCCATACTCCTCTGAAACGGCTTGACCGATTCTCATAAAATTTTGGGAGCATATTGAGTAGGTCTGAGAATCGGACAACATCTATTTTTAATACTACAGACAGCTAGTTTTTGTATAAAATTGTAACATTTAATTACCTGACAATTTGCTTGTTACATCTTACTAATATTATAAATGCGAATGTTTAGATGTATGTTAGAAGATATCTCCAGAACAGCTGCATGGATCTTGATGAAATTTGGCATACATATAGAACATAGTCTGGAAGAATATGTTGTTTTTCACAAAGTTGCAAGAACAAATCGTTACTAGTAACATGTCGCTATAAAATCATAAAATTTAGATTGACCTACATATAATTAACTCATCCTGCATTAATCTGTCACGGTTTAGTACTTTTTTTTTATAACAGAAGGGGGTAAAGGGAACACCGAGGTGTTCAACGACCATGGACATCAGCAATACCAGAGGAACCGCAGATGCGTTGCCGGCCTTTGAGATAGTGATAAGCTCGCTTCTTGAAGGACCCTTTTTTTTCCAGAGAGGAATGCTTTATGCATACTCCGCGCATTGGGGGGATGCGGTAGTTATGTGGGATTCTCCTCCATAGCGGAGTCATACCCACTAAACCTCTCTGTTCCTACAACGCATCGGGACGGGACCACGGGCACGCTTTCGCTCTCGTCCGCGGCCACTTGAATGACTCTAAGTCGTAGCGGTTATCTTATAAAACAGAGATTTTTTTACTTAGTATTCTGACTATATAGGATATTGTATGTGTGATAGTTTGAGTGTATTGTTCCCTATATTTAACTATGCTCGTAAATCGCATAATCCCCGCTTTACCCCTTAAAAAGTTTAACGCAAATCATTGCGTTATGTTATGTATAAAATTGAGGTTAATGTATATGCTTAAAATCCTTTGCAAAACATAAGACCTTTTACATTTTCTTTGGATATAAGGTCAAGAAAGCTATATTTATTTAAATAACAAAAATCTTATATATAAAATTCTCGTGTCACAATTTTCGTTCGACCGATTCTCATGAAATTTTGTGAGCATATTGAGCAGGTCTGAGAATCGGCCAACATCTATTTTTAATCCCGCGCGAACGGAGTCGCGGACGACAACTAGTATTCACATTAATAAAGCTATCGCTCGCGACTCCGTTCGCACGGAATAAAAAAATAGTAGCTTAGGGAACATACCCATACTACGTGACCTAATTTTTTTAGTTTTGTTGACCCCTCCCTCCCCTCGGTGACTCGTAGTACATGCCAAGACACCCCCTTTAGTTTTTACGTAGTAATTCATAATTAAAAATTGAAAAAGAAATAATTTGGCTCATACTCTTCTTTATAGCATAAGACTGCATGCATACTTAAATTACTAGTGAATTATGTATTATGAAAAAAAAACAAGTAACGACTACGTGACTAAAATCTGAGACCCCCCCCGCTCCTATGACTGACCGTAGTATTTTAAGGACTCCCCCCTCCTAAACGGGTCACGTAGTATGGTTACCTTCCCATATGTGTTCTTCCAGACTACAGATCTATGCCAAATAACAAGATCTGTTAAGCTGTTCCGGCAACTTCTAACATACATCTTAACATTCGCATTTATAATATTAGTAAGATTATAAGATTTTGATTTGAACCTGACATTTATTCCATATGAACAAAACCTGTGTTCCATATTACTAGCGTTTTTATTCGCTTCTGTCCCGTTTTATTTTCTCTTCCCTGGTAGACCTAATTTGCTTCGATGCAACTTTGCAAAAAGGAAATAGAAACATCAAATTTCAAACATTACGGCCAATATTTACTTGGTTTTATCAGATTTTTTCATGAAAATTGTGACATAAAGTTTAGTTTTATTGTAAATTAAGTTTAAGTTATTATACTTAGTTATTTTACAATGTACGAGCTTAAGCAGTATTCGCAAAATAAGGCTTAAAATCTTGAAAGCGCTCTCTGTCGTCAAATTGAATAAACTTTATTTTCTAAAGACCACCACTAGATGGCAGTAGGCAACGGATTTGTTAAACAAGACAATTGAAGAACAAAATGCTATATTCATTTGCATTTAACAGTGGTAGAGCCCGCTTAAACATCTACGCACAAATTGTCCGTCTCGTCCGGTGAAATACTACGACCACACAGAAGACATGCGTCAAGTGCGCAGCTTTTCCAACTACAGTCTGATGAGTGTGCGTCCCAGAGGCCTAATTTAGTCCTCTTTCCCTTCCCATTCTTTATCTTATAAGTAAAGGATGGGAATTTGACGTGGATTTTCCGGATGAGATGCATGGGAAGGGATTTTTCCTTCCCATGCATTCACTTTCTGAGCATTACCACCGTCGATTAAAGGTAGGCAAGGCATTTGCAATTGCGTATGTATATGGGTCACTGTTTGCCACCTTATGATTTAAAAATGCAAAGAAATTACCTTTAAATCTATGATATTAAATAAAATATTAAAAACGAATAATTAACTAAAATATATTATTAAAAGGAGTCCCTTTAGTTAAGGTTCCGAAGATACTGGCAGCGTTCTCCTTTTGAATAACTAAATTAAATCTTTGTACCAGGATTCCAGAATTAAAGAAACTTAATTTGTAGTCTATGTGTTCTTCCAGACTATGTTCTACATCCATCCAGCCATTCTGGAGATACCTTCAAACATCCATCCATCCATAAGTAAGATATAGTTCGATTTTATGCATGACGACTAAACATCAATGTTGTTTTAAATTATTCAAATATGTAAGATGTTCAAATTATTCATAGCTAACTGTAGAATGAACGTCACGTCTAAACGGAATAAATGCATTAGATATAGTACGACAAACTTTACTGGCCCGGTGGACATAAATGAAACTAGCTCACTAGCGCCTCTCATAATGTAACCAGATCATTCCCAGACTAGTCTTTGTAGTAATTTTTTATATCTTAAATGTTTTTATATATTTTCCTACAGAATTAAAAGACGTAAAATAAAACTGACTGAAAATCTGCTTAATATATTATTCTATCTATTGGCAGCAGCAGCAAGGGCGCATCCAGCTTTGGTACCAGGAGGGGGTCACATAGTTGTGGTCAAGTCAAGAACTAATAATTTAATATTGTTAACAATGTCCAGCTAAGTCCTTGAACCAGCTCAGAGGTCATGAACCCCCCCTCTCCCCTCTGGATCCTCCGTTGAACAGCAGCTTGAATGTCCAGTTCGCGTTGTGTTTCACGAAAGAATGTTATCACGAATGTGGAGGGCATGACATGTCCCTAATTTACACCAATAGCTTAGAGCTATAACTTATCAGCGAGGCTAGATAAAGTGCATTCGTTTTGAAGCGATTCCGTAACAAACTTCACAAATGGCACTGAAAGTAAGTAGTTTCGCTAAGTAGCGAATGCACTTTGTCTAGCCCCGCTGGACCGCTAAGAGGCGCTGCTATCGCGTTTAGTGGCACAGAATATAAAAATGTACGCTTTGAAAATGCTTAAAAGAAAGTAGAAACAGCGTCAGTACATCTTGTGGCAATTTTGACATTGAGAGAGTAACGCTAGTGAGTTCTCATGTTTTAATTCCACCGGGTCAGATTACTTTGTACGTCTATACGTCATTGTAAATGCTATTTTTGACACTGTTTCGTTCCGTTGGTGTCGGGGTGGCGCCATTTCGGTGCGTTCGGATATTCTGAAATGATGTTGTTTTTTAAAACGACTTAAAACTGTTCCCTACGACTACGCTTGCGTGGAATTAAAAAACAAAAGACTTCGTTGCTTTGAAATATAAACAAATCTATTCTATTGGAACTGTTTTTTTCGGGATATTTAGCCTATGTATGACTAAACGGATTTCGATAAGATGATTGTCGACTCGTAATATCCCCAACAATTAACCATTTTTTAAATTGAATAATTTTTTTTTAAAACAATGGACTTAAGATCGAAAAAAAATATTGCACATTTATAAATGCTTATGGTTTTCTGATAATATATATCATCATCAGCTCACTATACGTTCCTACCGAGGGGCTCGGAGCCTATACCCTAAGTTAACTGTGATTAGGCCATAGTCAACCACGCTGACCAAGTGCGGGTTGGTTGACTTCACACATATCTTTGAATTTCTTCTCAGATATGTGCAGGTTGCATCACGATGTTTTCCTTCACCGTAAGAACGTCGGATTCTGACAATAATAGAAATATAAATATTTATCTTTACTAAAAAAAACAAAATGCTGCCGTCAATGGCTTTGTACGCGGTAAGGAGTTAATTTCTTTTTTTATATTATAAGGTGGCAAACGAATGAGCAGCCACCTGAATTCGCCGAAGTTTATTTCCTTACCTTGCCAACTTTTAATCAAGTAAGATGAGGGGCACAGAACGAGAATATTTCCCCTACCCACGCGTTCTGATCTTAAATCCAAATCCACTTCCCCTTCCCATCCTTTCTGTTTGCAAGTCTGCGTTTGTTCCGGA